CGCTTAGTTTTCATTGTCGCCGAAAAATATTTGTTTCTTTGCATTTTCTGTAATTTGCATACGTGCGAACATTTCCTCTTGCTCCTGACATTGACGTATGAATTATAAAGACATTTACATGCATACATATATCCATGTATGCTAGGTACATAAATGTTCAACGTGGGGGTTCAACAAACCCAGAAAGCCGCAATAAAAGTACCTTCATTAGCTGCCATTAGCCGCTGGAATGTGCATCACATTTCACACGATATTAAATCGAGCAGAAGGCACAAAAACAGAGCTGTGAAAGCAGCTAGCTTAAATTGTTTGGACACATGGCCCGGCACTGTTGCTGGCTGGCTGTGTGAAGTGCGTGTTTGTGCCATTAAAGTTTCATCAGTGGAGCAACAGCTAAGAGCGGCCAACCTCTCAAATCCCCAAAGCCCCCGCGGCCAGCTCTTTGGTTCAGGGAGTTAAAGGGTCGCTGGCGTTGCCTGATATTGTCATTACATGCTTCGAGGATATTTCTGTGGCGTAACCAAGGCAAATGTACTTTTGACAGTTGGGACTCTTGAAAGGGTTGACCGACAGCGCACACACAGACACACACAGAGCGAGAGAAAACTTTGTACAATGCAAAAGATTCAAATTTCCAGCTCGGAACAGCAACAGCTGCCATATGATAATGCCTGCCTCAGGGGGGTCGAGTCGGTCGGACAACCCCTCAGTCATGTGACCAAAACCAAACCCATATAACTGGGCTTACTTGTAATAGTTCTCAAATCAGTTTGCTCGCAGCCAACTGCTGCAGCAGCAGCAATAAATGTTAGCTAAGCATTTAAATATTTATTAATGTGGGATTTGCGAGCAATCCAAATAATATGTAATGCTAGAAGCAAAACTATTGCACGCAGGTAGCTCTATGATATGGAAGCATTGGTTATGCTAAGTAACTATATATAAATAAATATAGATGTATGTACTATATCAATATATATATATAGTATAGTCCACAATAAAGCACAGATTTCCTAGCTAAATTTTTTTGCAAATATAATAAATTATTTCACGCCTTGCCTATTAACGAAACATGTTGATTATTAGTTGACAACAACAATAGACATTTTATTTAACTTCTATTTTTTTGATTTTGTTGATTTTACTTTTTATATTAGCATTAAATACGATTATCCATAGCTCAGCTTCAATAAATTAACAATTTAAATGTTGCTAACAAAGACAACACAAATGTTGCTAGCAACATGTTGCTGTGGAACGTATTTGAATGCAGCTAAGACTATACGCTATGTTATAAATGAGTAAATTTGCTTTAAAAAACACAAAATAATAGAAAATAACAAAAATCAAAATAGATGAGATATATATCTGTATATCTATAATTTTAAAATGGCTTTTTAAGCAATATATTTATCATATTTATAAATAAATAAATGTTTTTAACATATTCAAAATATCGGCTTATCGGTTAAGAGTCAGCTGAAATCATAAAATACTTGAGATAGCTAATATGCCGCCCGTAGCTCAGCCATAAACCGGTTCTAGTCGAAGAGAGTCAAACGCATTTGCAGTTGCCGTTGCGTTCACAGTTCACAAAATGATCTTGGCCAGTATTTTTGTGTGTTTCTGCCTGGTGTCGGCTTACAACTATTTGAGACAACGTCAACAGCGCGGACTTATTAAAATCTGGGAGGACCCTTTTCCTGGCCTCTATTAGGCGCCATGCACGAAATTGTGCGGCTCTCTCCAAAGAGTAAGTTCCGACACTCCATTTACTTAAATATGCCTATCAAATGTCAACTTCGACAGATTTCTTTGAGCGCAGCTCTGTCTACTTGGCCAAATATGGCACTGTGAGTCGTATTTGGGTTTTTCACAGACTCTTCATACCTGTCGCCGACTTGGAATTAGCTAAGCAACTGCTGCAGAGCGAAACGCATTTGGAGACGGGCCACGAGCTGATGAGCGACTGGCTGGGCGACAGCTTGCTCAATTGCCAGCCGCAACACTGGCCACAGCGACACCAAATACTCTTGGCACTCTCACAGCCAGACAACCTGTTGCAATTGAACCAGCTATTTCAGCAGCAGGCCGAGCAGCTCTGTCAACAGCTAGCGGCACAGGCGGAAACGCGACAAGTCTTTGATGTGTGGCAGTTGGTCTCGGACAATGTATTGGACCTGATGCTGTGCATCAGCTGTGGCATGCAGCCAAGCGAGCGGTATAAGCAGGCATTTAAAGAGTGAGTCGTTTGGTGTTAAGCAATTAATTATAGTTTATGCTGCGTTTTGAGTGATGAAACTAAGTTTAAATATTTATTCTCAGCTCAAACTGGTACAATTTACATATGTACCTGATTTTCAATAGCCAGTTCTTGCAGCAGCTGATTCAGTTCATAATTTATGTGGCTGGCTATCGACATTCAATTAGAGTCTGAATTGTTTCAGTTTAAATTTCATACTTTGACTTCTTTGTTCAAGTAACCAAAAACATTGATTGCAGCTCTCAAAATGCATCGACTTCTACTTCCACTTCTTCATTTTATTATCTAACAATTTATTCCATCACTATTATCTATAATTATGTATATTAACTGTAATTTTACTTCGTTATCTTTCTCCAGTCTCATCGAGCTCTATCGCAAGCGTTTCTTGAGCGTACGATCAGCCAATCGGCTCACCTTCTTGCTCGGCTCGCCACTGATGCGAAGACGACAGCAACGGCTCATACGACGCATCAATGAGGAGAACAAACAGATGCTGGAGCAGCGCAGACAACATAAGCTAAACACTAATCAAAATAAAAATCGAGGGGCATCACTATAGATCGCATTGAACCGGCTCCAAAAAGTGGAAATATCAATCGCTGCTCGAGTTGCTGCTCGCGAGTGAAGCGTCGCTGACTGACGCCCAGCTCTTGCCGAGCTGAAACAGCTGCAACTTCCTTGGGCCATTTGCTGTGCAGCAGCGCACTCTTGCTTTGGCCTTAGTGCTGATTGCACGACATCCGGCCGTGCAGCAACGCTGTCTGGATGAGCTGCGCCTAGCTAGTAGCTCAGCGAATGGTGCGCTTGCCCTACCTGGATGCGGTGCTCAAGGAGACACTGCGGCTGCACCCACCGCAGCTTGATTGTGAGTCGTGAGCTGAGTAAAAGCTTTGAGTACAGTAAGTGAATGAATCTCTTCTCTAAGTCTCATTCATGCCTCCTTGTGTTCACAGCTCATTCAGAGGTGGGCGATGGCGTTCTGCCCGCTGGTGCTGAGATCTACATCAATCTCTATGAGCTGCAACGCGCTGAGCTGGAATATGGCGATAAGGCGCAACTCTTCAAGCCAGAGCGCTTTCTGGAGCAGACTCAGCTTTGGCCTGGGTTCCGCGCAGCTGCCCGGCGCAGCAAATGAGCTTTAAACCTTGCTGCAACAGCTGGTGGCGCCGCTGCTGCTGCAGTACGAGCTGCTGCCCTACGGCGATGCACTGCGACTCATCTACGCTTGGCGCTGGCTCGAGCAATGGCTTCCAGTTGGGCGCTGCAGCCACGTTTGAACAGCAAACAAGATTAATTAGATTAAAGATTAATTAGATTAACAAAATAGACTTTAATTTAGAGACAAATGAAATATACAAACAAAGAGAACACCTCTCTATGGCTGGCTGCGCCTGCGCATGCCCATCTGAAATCCTGTATCCGAGCGCAGCACTATGTTAAACCACAGCCTGCACTGGCTCGCCCAGCGGCAGCAGCTCGTACTCGCGCACAATCTTGGCCAGCAGCATCTTCATCTCCAGCTGGGCGAACTTCTGGCCAACGCAATTGGCGTGGCCCGCACTGAAGGGCACATAGGCAAAGCTCGAAGTGGAGCGTTCGCTGTTGGCATGACGCTCCGGCTTGAAGAGATGCGGATCCGGAAAGTTTTTCTCATCATTGTGCATGCCAATAATGCCCATAAGAATCTCAGAGCCGGCGGGTATAACAGCCGCGCCAAACTTGGAGTGTGCTGCAAGCAGAAAGTCTCATTTATTACGTCGCCCACGCTTAGTCGCGCTCACTTACTGTATTTGAAGTCGGTTTGCAGCTTTCGGCCCACTAGCGGCACGGGCGGATATATGCGCAGCGACTCCTGGATGACGACACTCCACATACTTCAGCTCGCCCAAATTCTCGCATGGTAACAGCGCGACTGCGATCGCTGCCCAGCACGTGCAGGATCTCCTCCAGCATTTTGGCCTGAACTTGAGGATTTCGTGATATGCACCACAGGCAGAAAGATAAGGCACTGGTGGTGGTGTCATGGCCCTCGAACATGAATGTGTCCACCTCCTCGCGTATCTCCTCGTCCCTCAGCGGTCGTCCATCCACGCTCGCCTGCAGCAGCACATCCAGCAGCGCCATGCGACGCTTGCCGCCCACCTCGTTCTGCAGCGGCTGTCTCTGCGCCCACACGCTGCAATCCCCTCCAGAATCTGGCGACGTTGCTTAAATCACCTCAGTAGTAAAATGCGTGCATGGTGCGTATGAGCTGCATCTGACGAAGCTTGAGATGTGGATGGGTTAGCGTGAAGAGCAGCTCGCTTTGCAGGTAGAACGACATGAAGCCGCCAGGCCATTAATGCTGTGCATCTGGTGAGTGGAAGAGGAGGCTGGGATGAGATTGATTTTGATATAGAATGCAGATATGATTAGCCTGGTTTACTATTGGAAGAAGAGGCAAGCAGGGTATAGAGAAGATAGGGATACATTTTGCATGTACTTTGAGTCATGATCTGAAGCTAGCTCCCACAGAGCATCTATGAGTAAAGAGAATTTTTGGCTGAGTTTATTAAACTAGTTCAACTTAGTCAAAGCTGAGTCTGAGCCACTGCCACTCGATATCAAGGCAAGGCTATATCATATAGCAACTGTGTCCCAGCTTACGGGAACTAGTATGAAAACTAACTCTTCTTTTCAGGGCTGACCTCTATATGAATATGCTTCACAACTTACTCCGTAACAGGCATTGGCATAGGGCGTGCTCTCTGCCAGCTGCGCATTCACTTTGGTGCCCATTGCCGTCTCAGCGATGATGTCCAAGGCAGAGCCAGGCAGACAAAGGGATAGGACATCGAAGGTCTCTCCATTGGCAACGCTGCTCCAGACGCTGCACGCACAGATTCGACTGCAGATCAAAGACCTCCACGAACTGTTCCAGTATCGAGAAGTGGAAGGTGGGCGTGATTATCTTGCGACGCTGGTACCACACTTTGCCATCGCTGAGCAGTAGGCCGTTGCCCAGCCACTGGCCCCAGCACCTTGTACACCTGATGCTTAAACCAAATGCTCCTGGCTGGCGAGCACCTGCTCATTGAACTCCACATCGCTGCTGGTGATCATCAAGCGATTCAGCACCCAAACACGCTGCAATGTCCAAGTTCAATACTATATTGTGGGATCGTTTAAGGAAATCTGCGAGCAACCATAATAAGTATGAGTTAATTAGTATAAAACAAAGAATTAACAATAACAATTATAGTAACGTTAACTGTAGCACTTCTATAATTCCTGCGCACTTCACCTACTTATTTGTTTTATAATCAATTCATTATTGGGAATGCAAAGAGATAAGACTTATTTTATAAATATACCAGTGGGCCTTGACTGACTGCATAGTACTCGTCCACGATTCTTAGACAAAGGTATTTAAATATGAATATATTTCAATATGGTATGTATCATTTATACATCTAACTGTTTCCGCATTTATATTTATGGCAGCAACACCTAATATTGTAGAAAGCCCATATACTCTCTTGACTTCGTGAACGAGTATTAGCACGCACTTCGATAATTATAAGCCTAACGATTAGATTACTCAACTAGCTACTTATTTGTTTATAATCAACGTGTTATTGGATTCACTTATTTATAGAGCTCTAATAATAGATGTTATTTAGATAAGGGCTTTCATTGAAAGAATATGTTGTTTACACTTGAGCAGTCAATGTGAACTGCAGAAGTGGATGATCATGCAGGGACTTGGGAATTATTGGCCACCTACTGACGCCATCAAGTGGACAACAGGCCAGGCAGGGCAGTAACGCAAACAATTAGGTAGAGAAATGGAAAATCGAATTATTTTAAAGGGCGTGACAGGACTTCTTAAAGTATATATATTTCTTGATCAGGGCGTTAAACAGAGTCTATTGAGGCCTGTCCGTCCTGTCTGTCTGATCTCACCATCTATAAGAGCTTGAGACTTAAAATACTTTTGAAAGTCCGTGTATAGCACGCATATATCTAGTTTGTTTCAAATGCAGCTACTAAAAAATAAATATATATAAATATGTATTAAACAGTAATAATGGAATCAGTAAAGGTGTTTGTGCATTTGTTCGTCAGCCTTAAGTTGAGACAAAGTATAAAAATAAAAATAAATAAAATAAAAATAATAATAAATGAAAAATAATATATATGTACTATATATATATCTATATATATATATATATCTATATATATATATATATATCTATATAGATATAGATATAGTACATATATATTATTTTTCATTTCTTATTATTTTTTTATATATATATTTATACTATATATATCTATATATATATATATATATATATATATAACTATATATGTATAACCATATATGAAATAATATATGATCAGCATAATCAGTATCTGCCTATATAGTTGCATAATTTGTTTTGTCTTTTATATCATGTAAAATGAGTAAAAAAGTAATAAATGTGCTCAACAGCAGCAAGAAAAAACATGTTGATTCACGTATATATGCAGTATACAAATTCCCGATCGTCATTTCTCCTTGTCTGCTGCCGCCAACTTAGTTCAAAATGAGTGTAAATTCTCACTCAGAAAGCGCTCAGCAGCGCTGCTGCAGTGGCCCTTTGAGTGACTTTCAGGTATAAAAGGGCGCAGCAGCGGCTGCGGCGATCAGTCAAGTTTATGACCTGGACCAGGTCAGTCGTTGTGCAGTGCAGTGCGAATGGTGAATAAATTTAAGTTTTTTTTGTTAAATTGTTTAAGTTTAAATAAATTGTATTCTTTAATAAATATTGTATTTGTTTAATAAATATTTTAATATATATTTAAGTTTTTTTGTTTTGGAATATTGTCTAATTGTTAATATTATTTAAATGTTTATTATTATTAATAAGCACTAATTGTTATTATAATAATGATGTTCGTTGTAATGTTCATTAGCAATAATGATCATTCGGAGTAATGATCATTTATGTTCATGATTATTACTGGTAATTATCATTAACGTTTAATGATCATTAGCAAAATGATTTTCTCATGATCATTTTCGTAATGCCTTGTTCTCTTTAAATTGTTAATTACCTACTCTTATTATATTTTATAAGAAATAATTATATATTTTATAAGAAATAATGTTTAAGAGCATTTAATTTTATTAACTCCTTATGAAAGAGTAAGTTATTTTCAAAGTGATTTTGATGTTTGTCATAGGAAGAGAATCTCTTCTCTTAATTTAATTTTTATAACATTATATACTTGTACATATATATTTAATATATATATGTATAGATATATATATATATTTAAGAACAAGAATGTCTAAATGTATTATATATATATTCATAGATTTAATATAATAAATAACAATGATAATAGCAAACAAATGTTTGCTGAATAATCTTTTTATGTATTAGAATTTGTTAGTAAAAATATGTAATTTCTCTTAAAATAGTAAAAGTTTATAAAATAAATTTAAAAAAAATAGTAAAAAGTAAAAAATGTATAACAATTAAGATATTAATATTTAAACCTATATTTACTATATACCTTTATTTAGTATATGTTTATACCTATATTTAAGGCCCTTCAATAATTATGGATAACAGCTGGGTATCTCCTAGTCGAACACACCGACTATAGCTTTCATACTTGTTTAACTTAACTTTCTTTACATATAGACCTGATCTTTGGCCTGAACAAGTCTAACTGGAACTATAAAAATACTATATGGATTATTTGAATTTATAATTGATTTTTAAACAACATTGTAAACTCTTCTGCTTGCATGAGTTGAAAATGGAATGAATGAAGTATACAAATATAATATATAAAAATTATTATATTTTAGCGCTTGACTACTTTTACGACAACTAGAACTACTAAATACTATAGAAATAAATAGAGTAACTTCGCGCTAAGTTCAAATATGTTAAAAGTGCTGTATAAAGTTCAGTTTAGCTGTTTTATTGCCTGGCAACACTATATGTATAAAAAATATATATAATATATGTAATTAGAACAGACAAGTTATATACAAGATATCTGTTCTATATCAACGATATACTAATTATACCCGTGCTACGAACCCCTTAGATAATGAATGCGCACAAGAACGAACGAAACAGCGCCAATGGCCGCGATCTCTTGTCCCTGTTCCATAAAGCTGCTGATAGTGATGCTGGCTGCTGCATACAACAATATTAAAGGCATCAAACAATCATATTTCTCTACAACTTTTAAGAAAGAATTTCTCATATGCACAGCAATACATAACGAGTCGGAAGGACTAGAGCTTATCAAATGGAACAATCCAT